GCCTCCTGGAAGCCGGGCTCGGGGAGCCCCGGCGCTCACCGCACCCCCTAAAACGGCGCTGCAGGGAAGGCGGCTTCCCCCTCGGGAGCGGTACCGAAACGGCGCAATTCCTCCGCCTCAGCTGATTTTCCGCTGGAGGCAGCGTCTTTACGTTTTCGCGCGTGTCTATGGATTTTAAGAACAAGGTTATATTTCAACCTGCTTTCAGCAGGGCTGACATGATGGAGGACTACAGCTGTTCTTTCAAGATTTCCCTCGGAGAACACGGTCCTACCGCGGCGCGACTTCGTTACGCCCCGGTGCAAGGCTCGCCTTGCGCTCTGTGCGCAGTCGCCGCGAGCGCGGAGGACGGCGAGAGGGCAGGGAGGGAGCCGGGGGAGCCAAATCGCGGAGCGTAAATGCTGGGAGGTCCATCGTTGGCTGAGGCAACTGTCATGGGCCGTGGGCTGCTGCAGCAGGGGCACCGCGACTGCATTAAAATCGAGTTTTGGTGCGCTCAGGTCCTTTGAGGTCTCATCAAGCCTGGCTGGATATTCATTAGGGTGCTGCAGAAGGAGGGATCGCGTCCCGCTTGCTTTGTGCATCAGGGCTGCCACTGCTGAGATCGCTGCCCTCGGTCTAGGGGACAGGCGAAGCTTCCATTGCATTATTATTTATTATTATTATTAACATCATCATCTTACAGCTAGCCTGCCATTCGGGAAAATAAATGAGAAGAACAGGCCCTGCCGTGTGCCGGCGGGCTGTAAGCAGAGAAAGGGATGGCTTTTTAAAAAGTGAGATGTAGTCAGCCTCTGGAATGGGTAATCTAGGGTGGAGGGGAGCTGTTGGGGGAAGGTTAATGGTAGGACAGTTGAGCAGCTAGAGATGTTGAACTTCTCATATCTAGAGCCAGCTTAGTTGTCTTAATAAGCAATGCAGGGTCAAAATGTTATCATTCAATTGAGGAAGGTAAGTGGTGAAAATACAGGGGAAAATTAGAAGTTACGGACGCTTGACGTTTTCCTCTGGTATAAGGTAGGCTACACCTCAGGAGGGCCAAGTAAAGGCCCTGTAGCACTGAAAATTTGCAAACGTTCAACATGCTTTATTCTGGTATAAATCCTATAGCTACTGCAGTTCTTTAAGATGACGCTGGATTATTCCAGTAAACCAGGAATAGCTGAGATGTATGTGTGTGTGCGTGTTGTGGGTTCCTCCCAGACTTCACCCACCCGGGACTGGGTGCGTGGCAGGGCTACCTGTGCAGATGCAGTTCCTGGCAGAGGCACAGGTTTGCCCGCTGCAGCCTCAGCATATTATAAACCCAGCTAGGAAAAAAACGCGCTTAGGGAAGAGAAAGCCAAACCTTTACATATCAACTCTTGTGTATGGAAGCCAAGGAGAAAGCAAAAGAGGTGCAAACTCGTGGGTTTGTGTTTTGAAATAATAGAGAGTTGTGTTTGGGATTGCAGGGCAGAGCCTGAAAGATGGGATGCCTCTTGCCAAAGATTCCATTGAAAATAGGAGATGTCAGTCTGTTTCCCTGAATTGGGGTGAAAATAGCAAAAGGGGTCATAAGCTTTGGAAGATATGGTACAGGTTTTTGACCTGCTGGGTTCCTGATCCCCTTGCACAGTACTTATTCACCCAGGGAAAGCCCCAGAATGTTTTTTTTGTTTGCTCATGGGATAAGGAGCGTTTTCTCACTATTTAGAGGAACCTGGGATGTTTTAGAAAGGAGCGGGTACTGAGTGACATAAGTGCCAAACTTGTCTGGAGGACCAGTTTCAGTGCAGGCTGAGCAGGAAGAGTGAGAATCTCTTATCTTGTAGCTTCCCAAATCCGCTGGGCGATATAGGTGATGAAAATGGAAAGAATAAGAAAGGGTTTATGCAGAAAGGAACCCTCCCCCCCTCCAGGATACGAAAATAAAAGAAGAAGTGATTTCTATCTTCCGTAAATCCCAAGCTTTGAGAAAGGAAATTCTAGGATTGAGAACAAATGTTTGTGATAAGTATACATGCTGAACGAAACAGGTACAGTGGCAAGGGCACTTTAGCAACAAAAGGAAAGGTTATTTTTTGTGTACTAGCGGTGTCTCAAAAATTAATATAAATGACCTTTGACGACTTCAGTTTTAAAGCACACACTTGCTCTTCTTTGTATTCCGCTTGGCGTGTGTGAGTGCAGACACAGAATATGTGTTTCTTTTCGTATTTGTTCTGTACACACAGTTGCCGTACCATTGATTATTAGCTGTGCATGTTTATCACATAAAGGGACTCAAGTGTGAGTCAATTAATAGAGAATGCAACTGCTGAAGTTAAGTTTGTACTTAGGTCGCAAACAACCTCCCTTTAAACAAATGTGTAACGCAAAGTGCAAATCCTTTGACTTTTTAAGCACTAGCAAAGATTATAACAATTTGTCCCCAGAGAAAGCTAAGGAAGATTTTCTAGACACATTTTGTTGTCCTTTGGCATTTAAAAGAATAGCAATAGCGGTAACATATACAGATAACATGGATTAGTACCTAATTGTGATTAATCTCTGTTCTGATGATGTAGTACATATATGATATAGTTCCAGTTGACCTCTTCGCATTGCATTATGTAACTGGCTGATTAGAAGCACAAATTGAATGCAATTTGTTTGAAAGACTATTTCACAAATAACTGCCATATTGATGAATGTTTTACTTAATGATGTGATAAATGCAATTTAGAATAAATTAACCATTAATCGTATCTACACATTTAATCTTTAGATTGTTATTACTATTTATAGCTTTATGTACTACCAGATTTAAAGTGATTGTATAAGCAATGTGACATCATTCTGTGTGATGGCTCAGACTTTGAAAACATTCCTCCCTGGCCTATTAAGTGGACTTTAGGAGAATTTGTGTTTCATGTGGAAATAAAACTCTGTCCCTATTTTCGGACAGTAATGATGAAATACTTCTATAGCTTTTCATAAACATCCTCTTTTTGGCCTGTCTCTGGGCCAGAAGGCCTCACCTCCTTCTCTTCCTAGTCAATGGGAGAATCCACAGACTGTATTTCTACACCTATAGGCCTGCCTTTCTTAAGTGTTTCTCTCAAATTGACCTATTTGGAACTGCCACAGAGTCCTCAGTCAAAGGTAGATGTGTGTTCTCTTGTATCTCTCAAGCGTGTGATGGAGTGTGTAGGATAGTGAATATGCTGGGAAGGTTTTTTTTTACTTGCAGAAGTAATTCTGCACACCCTTACTCATATCATTAGTGGAACCACTTGTATGAGTAATCTTAGCCATCTAACTTGAATACTCAGGATAAGGCTTAGTGACTTTAACTGGATAATGTATTTTTCCTTAAACAGTTGTAAAGAGTAGAATTAAATTTGACCTGCTGCTTTTCCTTTATATTTCTCCGTATTAACGAGAATTTTGCCACTTGTGTAATTGTGCACAGAACTGGGTTCCACTTAGTCTGTCAGTCTACAATGTACTTTTCCTAAGACTGGAAGGCTTACCATCATTAATGTGATTTGATTAGCAACACAAATATATAAAGGAATTGTTTTAATCAATCAAAATGCTTGGGAAGCATATGCCTCAAAGAAAAAAGTATAAAAGGATTCCTCTTTAACTACTCAGTACAGTATTCTGTTTGTTCGCCACTAGTTTTTATTACAGACTTGTCTCCCTGGAACATTGTTTATATATTTCTTGCAAATAGGAGACAGGCTTTTCCAGGTGTCCACAATACGTTTCTGCAGTTCTTCTTTGTTCATGTAGGAGCTTTCTTAGCTACCATTTGTTTAATTCACTCCAAATTTCTAGGCTTGTATTTAAACCAGGTGACTGTAATGTCTGAGGCACTGAAACTGTGACCCAGAGTCTACAGTCACTGCTCGTGTGAAGAAAGTTTTATTTGCTAGAGTAAGGATTAAAGGACTTCAGCTCAGATCCATAGGAAAAAAAAGGCAGTCATTAGTTTAAATGCATGCATACTGAGAGTCTCACACGGCTTGAAATTCGGGATTGCAAATAAGTGTCTCTATTCCAAGAAAGAAAAGTGACTTCAGATGCTTTCCACTTCATCCTTTTCCCATTGAGTGTGCTGGCTGACCCAGGCCGTTGGAAACTCCCTCCTCCCAAAACACTCTGTTAAAAGATCTTGTAACATGATTGTCTGGGGTTGAGACACACTCAGCAGCAGCAATGGCTGAAGGAATTACTATCTCCAGCTGTCTGCATCACTCCGTTGCTGGAAGGTACAGGGCCTGTTTCAGGGACTTTTACTCCCAAAATGCCATAGTTGATGGTTTAAGGTAAACTGCCACAGACTTCACTTTGCGTGGAAGCATTGGACTGTATGCTGTAGTGCAACTGTTTCTGTTGGAGAGGTTGCTCATGCTTTGTCTTTTCTCTGCCCTTCAGCACTTTGAATGGCACAGATGAGGCTTGTGAACACCACTACTGCAGCTGGGTGCTTCAGTCCCTTTGGGGCTCGGCCCCAGTGGTCCTCCTGCATGGCAGAGGAGGGGGAGACCGCAGGCCATGGAATTTAGGGTTACGTTCACTGCTGTGTGATAGTTCAGAGAGCTGAAGACAAGCGAGGCAGTTGGAAGAACGTCTGCTGGTTTTGCCACGCAGCATTTATATCTCGTTTATGGATCGTGTTAGTGGCTATGCAGAAGACACAGGCCAAGCAGTTGAACTGCTACCAAAGGATGTACCCCCCACGCTATCATCCTTTCAATACTCTGCACAAAACTGGATGCTGAACTGGCTTCTGCTCTCATAACAGCAACAGTGCGTTCCTTAAGCAAGTCTACAATTTTACTAGCTCTGCTTCCGTTTCCTTAATCTGTTGCACGTTTGCTCTCATTGCTCTGTGCTGCCTCTCAGTACTGCTGTGATTCCCATGTTGTCTCACTGTAATTATCATGCGATACAACAGGTGTGATAAGTTACAACACTGCTTCTGAGGTAAGCTCTTCTCTCTGCGTTATGGTGTTCTTGCTAGTTTTTGTTCGTACACACACAAACGCAGCTTTTCGACACGGCCTAAATTAAGTGTTAACAAATAAATCTCCTTTGTCCCTTCAACAGTGGCAAGTATCTGTTTAAAATCTAATTCTCCTTCCCTCACCTCTCTTTTGTACTTTACAGCATGGGCCAGGCTCCAGCACACATGTTCGTACTCAGTAGGTTACTTCAGAGGCAGCCCCTTTCACTTTGATGACACTATTTATGGAGGCAGGCATCGCTCTGCGTGAACAAGGGTAAAGCGTCTGACCCTTCTGAAGGCTTGGGATGGCTGAAGTCTGGAGTCAATCACATGATCTTTAACACAGTTAGGCGATTTATTCCTGTTGTTGTCTTTTGTTATCATCCACTTAGTGCAATTAAATCACAGAAGTCCTGATTTACTAAAGCACTTGAGCATATGGCAGGCTCTAAAAGTGCTTAGCCATAACTTTCAGTACATGATTATATCCTAGTGAATTCAGTTTTGAAATAAAAAAACCCTACCCTTAGGCACACGCTTAGAAATAAGAATATTCCTTGACTTTGCCAAACAGAGACGGCTTGAAGGACGCGTTTGTTACTGTGTTGAATTGGGACCTAATAAAGAACAGCCGTAGTTTCTCAGCTACAAACCACTGTGTATAAATCTTGGGGGCAGCGACGTTGAAAATAACAGCTATTATCTGCTGAAGTTTCAGTGCAGCTATGGAAACTCAAATGCCTGGCTAACTAAAGATTGGCTATATCCCTAGCATTGTGTGGATATTTTGGCATAACCTAGAGCAAAGATCTTTAAACCCATCCAATGTTCAACTGTACTATCCGTTAGGAAGTGAACATGCACAGTCTGCCTCGAAGGCAGCCTGTTCCCAAGTAGCCTGTGGCTTTCGATCATCTCTGTATTATGTTTGGCAGCTCGTAGCCTGGGCTGTTGCTATAGAACACTCTCTCCCCCTGACTTAGGCCCTGGTTAACTGAAATCCACCCAAAGACATTGCACGCTATTTTTCTCTTGCTGTTTCCAAAGACTGTTTTGTACACGGAACAAAATAATAGTCTTTAATGACTGCTCCACGAGGCATATCCCAGTAGAGTATCTGCTCAAATAAAGGCTAGATTTGGGGATAAATAACCTCATAGCATCCTCCCCTTTGCAGCCAAACTGCTC